CCCCGCTTTCCCGTTTTCCCCCGCTTTCCCGTTTTCCCCCGCTTTCCCGTTTTCCCCCGCTTTCCCGTTTTCCCCCGCTTTCCCGTTTTCCCCGCTTTCCCGTTTCCCCGGACATACAGACAGACAAACAGACAGTCTGTCTGTATGTCCGGGGTACCCTATAGACTCGGAACGATCGTCGTCTTTGGGAGCGTGTTTCGTGAGTTCCACCGGTGGTTATAGGGGGGTCAGTTCTCCGATGCGATGAGTGCTTTTACCTTGAAAAAATTATTGGAGTGGTCCACCCACGAAAATGCGAAAACTCAGATAAAAATTGAAAAATCGGAACTTCACGAAATTCCCAAACGCCTGAGCTGATCGCCGCGAAAATTTTGGGGTTCTCGGGAGCTTCGGGAGGGTCATATAAGGGTCGTCGCTCTCATGCAACGGATCCTCCCACCATAAAAAAAATATTTGAGTGGTCCGCTGCTCAAGAATCAAAGTTTTCATCAAGGGTAAGTCGAGAATATGCAGGATTTCTCACCGCCTGGACTGACCACCATGGAGGGGTGGGAACTCGGGCGCTCCAAAGAAGGCTATCGGAGCAGCAGAGTCACAAACTTTTCGCTAGATAGAAGATGAATTCGCAGCGTAGGAGCCGAAGGCAGCGACGATGTGGATGCCCGTACGCGAAGTCCTCCCGAATTCCGGACCCGCGTCCGAGATCAGATATTTATTTGGGGGAATTTTCGAAAGTTCGCTTTCGAGACTTTCCCCTCGACCGGGGAGCTAGAAATTCAAATGTTGCCCGAACTCGCTCGAGTGGAACTTTGATCTGCTCAGAATTCCTATCATACAACATTCGGAGGTTCGAGTTCCAAGTATGACTATACGACTCCCACGTCGTCTCGAGCTTGATCTATGCAGTGTGCTGCGGTTTGACAGAGCAAATCTCGCGGCGCCCCGAGCATTCTCGAGATCCTGAGGGAATCAGACGGGCGCTCCGAGCTTCACGGAGAATCGATGATCCCGATCTGGAATCATTTTCCTTCTTAAAGAAACCTCGCTTGGATACTAAGAAGACTAGCGGTGAGCGGCTGCTAGTAGCAATCATCGATCGACACCCAAGACTGAATTCTTTATCATTACAGAAGTTTCGTGAGATCGGTCCATTTTGTGCATCCCGGCAGCGGCCGTCGCCTCCGAGCCAATTGAGACCATCCATTGGCGACCCGGGAAGCCCTTTTGGGGCGGTTCCGCTTGATAAGTCACATGCTCTTCTTTTTTGAGACTTTTTTCCGGGCAGCGTACTGGAAAAGACGACCAAGCCCGAATTAAGGCCAGACCTCATGAAGCTTCCAGCGCGGATGCCGCAGTGGCTGTGTTCTTTGCGTCCCTTCCTTCTTCGCACGCGGTACCTTGGTATGAACGGGGACCGCTGATACCCCTCAAGGCAAGTGCTTGTTGGAATATTCGACTCTCAGATTGCTGCTGAGGCCGCTCCCGCCCATTGGCCAGCTTATTCGGGCATCCCAAAAGCAAAGATTGATCTCCATCTTGATGCCTCATCCGGCTTCCAATCATCCTCATCGTCTGAACCTGACAATCCCTCCCAGGGAGGATTGTCACACTCCTCTAAATCTAGCAAGAATTCTCTAACGCCCAGATTCACAACTTCCCTGAAGACGATTCGCGGATTCCTCACATGACCCGTATTCGGATCCGATTCCGATGGCTTCGTCGAATCCTCAACGAGAGCGTTGAAGATAGCATCGTCGATGATGATTCTTTTCTTGACCCTCGTAAGGCTCCGTGCTGTGTGGACGGAAGTCCGATGATTTTTGGACTTGATTCTCGTAGGGCTTCATGCTCTGAGAATGTTGATGGAAATCCGATAACTTTGGGACTCGACTCGTGTAGGGCTCCATGCTCTGAGAATGTGGATGGAAGTCCGATATCTTTGGGACTCGACTGGTCATTTGAGCAGGCCCGGCTGGTTCAGAATAAGGAGAGAGTTTTTGCCTGCAGCTCGGCTAAGACTTGAACGCTTGGGTAGAAGCTACCGGCAATCCAGTCCGTTTTGTCCGCCGAGTAAAGTTTTACAAGCCCCTTGGTATTTGGCACGACAGGGCTAGCATACACACTAGCGGCACGACAGGGTTTGGAGCAGGGTTTCTCTCCCCATTTCCCGGTTAGCGAGCCTTCGTAAGCGCGAGCCGATGAATCAGTTTGCGCACAAAGATCGTAGTGCACACCGACGGCGCAGCGAAGATTTTTTAGTCATTCCGCTCAACATCAACTCGACACCCGAGAGGAGGAAGGGAGAGAAGCGACAGCTGATCGAAACTCGATCGACTCTCGCAATCTGTGCAACTCCACCCCCTGTCCCGAAACGCTCGGAAATATGAGAGTCGATCCTCACTCATTTTCAGAGCCGTCTTCACCGACCTCGAGCGCCGAGATTGACTCGCCGCCCGCGATTCCTGTCCGGTGATCGAGGCTCAGCTCGCGGGTCGAAACATCATACGCATTATCCCTCGGTGTGTACCGAGACTCTCAACTGTGGTCCTTATATCTTGAGAGAACGGATTGAGAGCTCCGCTGATACTGACTCTATGATTTCTCATCAGAATTTTGAAGGCTTGAGATGCGCGGACTCCTCCGCTCTGGTCTGTGGCTCCTATGCATCGCCTTGCCGGGAAGTGCCGGTCAATGGTCCGAGCAACGTTTCCTCAATGACCTCCGGAAGCGTCCTGGTCCTTGGAGTGCTGATTTGGTGATCCCTCACAGGGAATACATTCAGGCTCAGCTTCAACTCGACGGTGAGTGATTTTCCGCCTTTTTTCAGCTCAAAGGCTGTTCATGAGACCATTCAAATACGTCGATTGAGTGAAATGAGCGATGGGGATAGTCGTCGCCGTTTGAGCACGAGGATTCTCATCGAACTTCTTGCAGGGATGCGTTCGAGATCTGGGGACTTCGGTGCCGAGCGGATCAGCCTGGATCAGCCGATAGAGCCACGGACGATGACGAGTTTCCTGAACGCTGCGCGGTACGCCATCTGTGAGTACTGGAGCGATGATCCATGATACTTCTTAAAGAGAGAGCTGTTGACGGGAAACGTACTCGGAATCGCGATTCGGGGCGCTTTGTACTCGAAGACTGAATTCTTCGAGGAAGTCCTTTCAGAAGATTCACTGAAGTCGAACCATGTTACGGCTTCGAGTTTCCGGACTTCACCTGTCTGCTCGGAGACCACGGAATCCGACCGGCACGTGGGTCGATTAGCTCATACGATCAAATGAGAGGGATGATTCACGAAATTCTTGCCCTCCACAGCTTTCCCTAGGCAATGCGAGCATGCCGGCAACTCATATGAGTGCGCTTTCGGAGTGACCTGCTGGATGCGAGGTGACAGCCCCGTGGACCTTTGCGGCGGAGGTCGTGTATGGTCTTGTTGCATACCCATTGAAGACCTCAAAGGCCCTGAGCTCGTCAATCCAGGTGAGAAAAATCCTCTCCGAATATTCGACGAGCTCTCTTCCATATTTCCATGCGGTCGAGCAATATACTTCGACGGAAGGAACCCTAACCCGTTTCTTATTCACCTTGGAGAATGCGGCAAGACCTACGTGAACGAAAAAAGAATCGTCGGCGGCGCTCCCGCCAGCTTCGGGGAGTATCCATGGCAGGTAGGAACGATGTCTAAATCAAGCACCCGGAAATCCCGGAACTGAGGCAAGCAAATCCTCGAAAACTCGATTTGCTTCCCCGTCAGACTCTAGAAAGACTCTAGAAGCTGCCTCACGATTCGCTACCTCGCGCGGCAGATCACAAAGCCGCCCACCGAGCTCTTCGCCTAATGCAGCTCAGGAGTCCGCATTCCTGCTTTTCGAAACAGTCGGACATGCGATCTCATTAGCGAATTTTTCGGGTGCCTGGACTTTTTCTTCTTCGATCGACCATCTATTGGGAATCCCGCGATTTGTCGCTTCTTCGTGAATATCCTCTTCTCATTCAATTTTAAGGCTGCCATCATGCTTCGACTCTTCTTCTGGATGGAGCATTTCTGCGGTGGCGCTCTCATCAGCGATAAATATGTTCTGACGGCGGCTCATTGTGTAGCTCGGTAGGTTTTGCATGGCATTCCTTGACGTCCATTGAGATCTATGAGCATCTCCTCAAAGCAGGGTCGGGTCTCGTTACTAACTTGGTGCGCTGATTGCAGGAAGTCTCTGAGACTCATGCGAGTTAGACTCGGGGAATACGACACGACGCACACCTCGGAGCGATATCTCCACGAGGATCACAATGTTCGACGGGTGATCATTCACCAAGGCTACCGCCAAACCTTCCCGGTGGACGATATCGCGCTCATTGAGTTGGCTGCTCCGGTAAAATTCAGGAGACACGTCGCTCCAATATGTCTGCCCGAAAGCGGCGCCAGTTTCAGCGGCGAGATCGCTACCGTCTCCGGCTGGGGAAAACTGGAAGAGAGAGGATACGCGCCTGCGGAGTTGCACAAGACGAGTCTGCGGGTCTTGGACAATCACGTCTGTCGTTCATGGTTCGGTAACAACAACTATACCCCGCTTTTACTCGATACGATGGTGTGTGCGGGCTTCAAGGAGGGAGGGAGGGATTCCTGTCAAGGTGATTCGGGAGGACCCTTGATCGTAGAGAGGGAAGGTCGGGTCCAAGTCATTGGAATCGTTTCTTGGGGTTACGGCTGTGCCAAGCCATACTCCCCGGGAGTCTACACGAGAGTTCCGAGCTATATCGATTGGATTGACTATGCCTTGAATTTGAGAGATGGGTCGAATTAGAGGTGTAGACTCTGGACCAACCTCAATCGACGGACAGGCGATTGGTTCGAGCGACGCCCCCCGGTCGTGCAAACAAGCTCACGTACTCTTCACGAACCATCTTCTACTCCGTGAGAAGACGTCTTCACCGCCTTTCGGTCCTCACGGAATTCCCGTACGGGACAGCAGGTCCCGAGCCTCAGTCAGCCCCGGAACATTTGCTTCAGGAATCCGTCCACGGGCGATATTAGAATGTAGGTCTATCATCATGTAAATAAAAAATTGAATAAACACTAATGATTCAAACAGAGCTTTGGGAGCGCAAGAGGTTCGCTGAAGATACAGAGGCGAACGAAGATAATTGACCTACGGAGGGTCAATGATCGTATCATCGGGGTTGCGACACAAACGGAAGTCAAATCTCCCTTCCGTCCCTTGCCAGCTTAGCTGGGGAGCTTCAAAATCATTCGTAACAAAGGCCTTTCATATTCGGTGGAAATTCAGATCGGGTGATTTTTAAAGGTATCCCCCAGCGAGTGAGGGCGCGGACGTCTACGCGATACTCGTATGACTCGGAGGTACATCTTCCCCGCGGACGCGTCGTCCAGGATGCTCTCCGAGAAGCGTTAGCAGCTCGAGCATAGAAACGTGAGCGCTGTGTGATCTTCGCTCGCGGAGAACACTCGAATTATTATGAAAGCCGCCGAGTCCGTCAACATGACTCGTTGCCTTTGGACAATACGGAACTTTGCTCTCGGCCTGGGTTCCAGCCTTCTCCGATAAATCGCCTTTGCGAACACCGGCGAACAGGAAATTTTTGAGGAAGTGAGCACCGATAGTCCAATTTGCGGAAGGTTCGGCTCACAGTCTGCAGAGGAGCCGCGTCTTGCGAGCATTCTCCGAGCGCTACAGAGGAGGCTCCTCATAGGGGTGGAATCTCGACATGTGTGGCTTGCTGTGTTTTTCTGAAATTCCAGAACATCGTCCCCCGGCATCATACTGAGCTCCGGAATATTATTTTCCCTCGTGCCTTGGGAGAAAAAGGCTCCCCTGATAGAGAGCAGAGGCGACCTTGCGAGTCAATTCACGCTTCCTGGACCAAAGCGCAGGCATCCGACTAGTTGTAAGTCCGCTGTTGTGGGACCCGTTCGGAGCAATCGCCGCCCGCGAGAACCCCTAGATTTGACCGTTCGCTCCGATGAACCACGGTCAAAATACAAGAGCATTCTTCGAGAGATTCCTCGAGGTGTCGAGCTCTTCGGAAGCTCCCCCACTGCGAGACTACGACTCGAGGCGCGAGTGACATGAATAATGTGTCTGATAGTAATCTGTGCACTGTGCATGCCGAGATACTCTATAAGCCTGAAGAAACGAAACACAGATCTCCAGGATGTGTAGGAGAGAGGAGCGGAATCGAGGGGTTTGTCCAGCCCTACTTTAAGTAGAGCATGCGGTTCGAATTTGTACATTCTCAAGTCGAGACAGCCGCTGACGATCACGGGTTGCTAGGAGACTGGAATCTATTCTGATTGATAGGATCAGGTGGGCCTGAATAAGATACGAAAATCATCGAATAGCGTCTTCCATCCGATGTTGAAGGTCTTAACGAGAGTCGATCTCCCTTCCACCTCCCAGATCCGCACCGACACCCGCGATGCTAAGAGTCCTCGATCTCTGTCCGGTGTTCTTGAGCCTCCTCCTCCTCCTCCTCCCGTACTGCACCGCTGAGGAACGCACCGGACCGTGGAGCTCGGACCTGGTGGTCCCCCATCCGGATTACATAAACTCTCGAATTCTTGGAAGAGGTATGTTTACTGCTTGTGTTGAAATTTCCAAATCTGATGCCCCGAAGATGTCGGAAGCGATAAATAGATTTCAGCACCGTGTCTCTGAATCCGTTTGCGAAAATGGCAGGCACAAGCGGATGTTCCGATTCGAATTCTCCGCTCCTTACAGGTGGTTCGGCCAGTCACCAAAGGAGTTTCGACGAAGATGGCGCCGATGCTCCCCCTATGGACGAGGTGATCGATCACAATGGGAATGCTTCGGTGGGAGGACGGACATGGTCGAGCACAAGTTTCTTGAACGCAGCGCGCTACGCCATCTGTGAGTATGAGGGCCATGGGATTTTCTCCCCTCGCCCCCGAGATCAGCCGGCTCAAGACATGAAGGTGCCGCCCTTCATACCGTCGAGATATAGCTCGAGGAGGAGGTCGAATCCGGCACAGTTAGCGGATTAGTATTCATCTGATTCCTGATAACCATCTCATTCTCAGCCTTCCCGCGTAAATGTAGATACGAAAATAAGACATACGACTGCGGTTTCGGAGCTTCATGTTGGTTGAGAGGACAGCGTACCCTCAGTCTATGCGGCGGAGGTTTGGTATGGGCCTGCTGTGTGCCTCGAAGTGCACCCGGAGCTGGCTTGAGAGCTGCGTCTATTGATTCGAGTAAGTGAAATTAGATTGTCCGCTGAAAGGGACAGAGGCTGGAGAAATCTGACACCCATATCATTTTATTTTACTGATTTCGATTACAACCTGGAGGCCGCTGACTGAGGGTTCGATAATCGCTTCTGCAGATTGCGGGAAAACCATCGTCGCCAAAGACAAAATCGTCGGCGGTGTAGCCGCGAATTTCGGAGAGTATCCATGGCAGGTCGGTGGAGAGCAGCTTTCTGATGATATAATCTAGATAGACTTACCAAACATGCATCCTTCGACGGAGCCTCGGAGAGAGACGCCCATCCTCTCGTCTTCTCTAACCTGTTTCGATGGACCGGTATATCCAGAATTTAATTACTAATTTGAGAAAACGTTTCCTTCTCGGCTCGAAGGTGGCGTTAGTCGGCCGTACTTTTTTCTCTGAGGTGGTCTTCTGCGGTGGATCTCTCATCAGCGAGAGGCATGTTCTGACTGCTGCGCATTGCACCGAATCGTAAGTCGCATTTACCCGAATACCTGCACACCCAGTCACGAATGCGTTCTAGACCTTACGGGTATCTATTGCAGGGAAGTATTCCTAAACGTGAGAGCAAGGCTTGGAGAACACGATCTGAAGAACGAGTTCGAGCGACACGCGCACGAAGAATACGAAATTCGCAGAACGACCATACACGAGGGCTATCGAAAGTGGGGGACCGTCAACGACATAGCACTCCTGGAATTGGAAGGAGCCGTCAAATTCAGAGAGAACGTTCAGCCGATATGTCTGCCGCAGACCGACGACAGCTTCGCTGGTGAAATGGCAACAGTCTCTGGATGGGGTCGGTTGTCCAGCGGGGCGAAAACATCTCCAACGCTGCAGAAAGTCGATGTGAAAGTTTATGACAACCGTTTTTGTCGCGTCCTTTACGCTCCTGCTTACTTCTTCCGGATCCAAATACTTGATTCCATGCTCTGTGCAGGATTCCTGCAAGGTGGCAAAGATTCCTGTCAGGGGGACTCAGGGGGGCCGCTTATTGTGCACAAAGACGAGCGTGCTTTCTTGATTGGCATCGTTTCCTGGGGCTTCGGGTGTGCTTCACCAATCATCCCGGGGGTGTACACAAGAGTTTCGAGTTACATGTCGTGGATCAAGGACAACATGGAGAATGACTCGCACACGGCTGCGACAACCACCCCCTCTCCGGCGGACTCCGAGGCCTAAGATATTTTTCCGACGCTCTCATGGACAGTAATGCCTGCGCCACGACGTGAGCGGAGCTCCATGTATCCGAACCATATCGGAACAAACCTAATCATTCCTGTATAGGCTCGACTACTGATCGGCATATTGCTCCCGAGTTTTGGGGGAGTTTGTCTGACTCCGAATGGATGGCTGTCTGGACTGATGGCAAGACCCGTCTCAAGGTCGGTGAATTGATTACGAGAGAACATAATAAGAGATTAATACCATGAATAAAATTGTTTCCTATTCGCATGTTTTTTCTCACAGAGAGATTCGACAATCAGATCTGCTAGGCCTGTTGGCTGATTCTCATCTGATCGCCGATTCTCACGCCTGGAACTATTCGAGATGATCGATGTGGGTACGCAGGTCCCCAGTCGCTTGCGAGGCCTCGTCTTCGCCACAGCGCGGCGATGTTCTCGCGATTCGATCGTTCAGAGCGCGCTCTGTTGTGCGGAGGCTGGAACGCGGGAGCCAGGACTCTGAACATCATTCTCCGCTGGCTTCGAAATATCCCGTTCCGGGGAATTTGATTCCGAGAATGATGTCGGACCCTCATTTACGAGTGAGCTCGGAGTCTCAATCAGCGTACTCCCGGCTGTCTTGCTTCTGAGAGACCGTGATTTTCACCTGGGCATTTCCAGCGCCACCGCCTGTGATCAGACAAGTTAATATACTTGGGGCTGGTTCAACGACTATTATCTCAAGAAAACGCTTGTCTGAGAAGGAATGCGGAATCGCCTCTGTTCGCTATTCACGCGATCCCGACACGAGATCGAGGGAGGAATTAGCTCACACTTATTGCTCAATGGAGAGGAATTCGCTACGCTCCTCAGAATTCTCGACGGTGCGGCGCAGCGCTGCATCGAGCTAGTGATGAGTAAGCTTGACTGCGTAATTCACATCTGAGTGAATTACAAGCGTGACACGAGCAGTTGCGTAAATCTCAGTGGTAGGCTTGCGACGAACATACAATCGAATCGGGAAGGCTCATTCGAGCCTCTAAATGAATTGATTCCACTCGACGCGGGTGAATGAGAGTACTCGCCACCGACTGCTGAAAATGCCCGAGTCGTTAGACAGTCCGCGGACATTTCCAAGCGGACATTTCCAAGTATCCCGGATGAGAGCATGGGTGTTCATGTCGCTCTTCGAGGAAGAAGGAATTCCACAATGAGGAAGGCTTCACATATTGCGTTCGATATTATACAATTGTTCTGTAGTCTGTTGATGAGTCGAGAGCACCCGACGCTCATTCCAAGCGTAGGTCGAGAGGCGGACTACAACGAATCAGCAGCTCGATGACCGCGTTATGAAATATTTACCATGTAATGAGCCCGCTCACGTGCGTGGTAGCAGTGATGCCAAACTCATCCACGTTCGAGCGGAAGAATTTTGGGAGACTGCGAGCCGAGACGAAGGGTATAGTGCGCATATCGACGACGATTCGGGACTTCGGTCGCTCAATCCGACGATCGGAACGAGGTCGCTATTCCGGGAAAAGAGAGGAGCTCAATCGAATTTCAGCTTTCGTCCAGCGGATCGGAGAAGAAATCCTGAATATACTCCGCGGTGAGCTGCCTCCACCTGGCAAAACGAAGTGACGACATCATGCTCCAGCAGTACATCTTCGGTGGAGGTATACGATTCCTATTCGTGGATTCAATACTTAATTGACGGTTTCGAATCATAGATCCATCAGTCAGGCTTGTTCCGGTGTGAGCTCGAGCCGCTAATTAGAGCGGTTCGATCGAAAATTCGATTCATGGTTGGTCGAGCTAGCGAAGCGAGACCCCGGTAGAAGTCTCGCTCAGAGGATATTATGAGCACCATCTGGGTCCATCGGCGGATCCGAGACGACTCACCGCTGAAGAATGTTCTCATCAGCGCCGGGATACTCATCATCAATGGAGCAGACTATTAAAGGGCGAGGATGCTTTTAGTATTTTGGGAATTCCTGCATTTGTTCGTTCCACTATTCAGCATGGATGAGTCCCGCTCCCGGGGAAAATGCCGTTCTTTGACCCCTCGTACACATCACAACGCAAACAACTCGCAACGTTGTCCTGGATCATCAAAATGGGCGCACAGAAAATCCCGAGGAACTGAATCGGACCAGGACGCAGCTGAGCAGACGCCGGAAATCGTCCTAGGAGGCATCACATAATGTCAGCACGCTCAGAATGAATATCAATCGCTCTCATTTCTTTGGAGGTGTCTTCGAATGGGATCGTTTTCTCTGGCATTTTGACTCGACGGTCGCGACCATGGGGGCATTCCCAGGAGCTGCGGTATCCTTAACGGGAGCATCCGAAAAATCAGATAGGGATCACTGATCCGGTCGCCGTGGAATAGCGGCACGCCCATGGTGGGAACGTCGGATCCCGACCTCCGAATTCACACCTACAATGTTCGCGACTCCGTGAGACCGATTCTCCATGCTGCACGACTGATTTGCTGAGACCCTTAGAAAACCGAATCCTTGTAAGAATAACGTTCCGCAGCGATCAACGGCGTGCTGGGCTCCATTCGAGTTCTACCGCTCAACGGAGCATCCGCCACGGAGTTTCGCCTCCAGCGCTGACCTTGACCCTCATGAGCAGCAAGTTCCTTCTCTTGGCTCGCATGGCCTGCAGGTGGGGATACGAAGGACGCGAGCGCGAAGGCTCCCAGGCAAGCGGGCAGAAAGAGGGACAGAAAGGCAGAAAGCGGCTAATAAGCACATATCTGCTACCTGTTAGCCTTATTCCGTGCCATCCCGGTCCGTCCCCTCCCTTTATTTCGGGCCCTCCCTTGCTCCTTCGCTACCTTCTCCTGCGCGGTCGCCGCCGTCGCTGCCGCCGCAGCCGTTTCGATTTTCCGAGGGGAGCATGCTCGTTCCAGGAACGAGCATCCTCTCTGCGAAGTATTCCGGGAGCGCTAAGCGGACTTACACGCATCTCGAATTTCCATCTATCATAAGGCAATATCTGGAACTCCATCGATCAGGCCTAGGTTCAGAGTCTAAGATAAGAGTCGAATCGTTTGAGAAAGCCTTGATTCCAAATTCTCCGTAGCCTTTACAACGGCTGGTCGCATTCCTTCATCCAGCTGTATCGACGGAAGTCAAGTCTCAAGGCCTTCCAGATAAGCGGCTTACGGTATGAACTTGGAGCGCAACCTGCCATCGCTGTCGTCCTCCCCACGGCCGGCTGAGCTAGTTATGGTGTTTCTCCGCATAAGTCGTCGATGGAAGGAACATTATCTCGCTGCCCACAATCACAAGCTGAGGGGACACAGTGAATCAATGAGCACTAGGTCACGAACAGAGACCATAGTTTCAAGCATCCAGGTCGACATTGCTGTTTTCTCCTTCCAACGCATGCTTCTGACTCTGATCGGAGTTCAGCTCGCTATACAGATTTCTACCTCCCATCTGGAGTATTTTCGAATTTCCAATCACAAGTATTTTAAATAATGAATAATTATGGAAACCTTCGAGGTTCACTCAATCGCATGTACACATCCCCGGCGGAGAGATCCCCCATGCTGGCCTGGATGCTCACGGTGATCCGGAAAAATTCTACCGCCAAAACAGTGGAGTTCGGGATAGCGCCCGGTTGCGACCAGCCCAGACCGGCTCTCGGTAAGTCTTGTAGGCATCATACTTCGTGCGATATACCGCGTGCGTAAGGTGAAAATCTCGCTTCCAGCGAAACTCTCGCGGTGAAGAGGCGAGGTGTGCGATCAACTCGGTCCTTCCAAATTTCCCCTATTCCCAGAAACAATTCCTGCGACGGCGTCCCGGAGCGCGAGCTTCAAGTGCCTCCCACCGCCCGATCCGGAAGGACGATTGGAGCTCAACCTTCCCATAAGTTTTGAATCGCAACATATGTCTTATCTTGGAGCAGCGCGAATTCAGGAGCGCCCTCCTCAAAATAGATTGATCGCAGGATGTCTAGCACCTATCTCACCGAATCGCGCTGGAATATCGACGTAAACGGATAAAAGGTCGCACGGTATCGTCGGTCACGAAAACGCTTCTCGATCCTTCGGATCAGACGCGAATGACTAAGGGGAGTATAGATGACCGGCCAAAGCTCGCAGCGAGCATTGCTATCGTAGCATTTGCGAGTCTATTTGTCGTGCTCCGCATAACTGTGGTCGAGTAAGAGAAAAATGCATGGGGCCTTCGGTCATCGACGGCAGTCCTCCGAACGGATCTTTTGAGCAGGGGAAGAATCGCTCGACAAAGAAGTGGCGCTTCATGAGCCGAGCGATGGATCCACTCAATCGCATATCGCTAAATCGAAGCGGAAGGGAGACCATCGAGCACGCAGGACGTTCCGGAGTCACTCGAGGCATCACGAATCATGCTGACCTTCACACAGCTCATCCAGATGACATCGGCCAAGAATAGATCAGGAGAGATCCACCCTCCGTATTCCGACGCGGTTCCATATGGGATCTATTCTTCATAGAATCTTCCAGCCCCGATCCGGCTCATACGACATATTTGTCCCCTATGAAGCCTGTCCACCTGAGGAGGCATTCGATATCCCGTGAGGGCCCTGGCGTCTCTCTCCGGGCTCTATTGATTAATCTCCGACGATTTTCGGGTTTTCCACTCCCAATATCATATTTCTGAAGTGCCGAGCCCACTGATTATCAGGCCTTAGAACTGAGGACCCATCAAACATGCTCGAGGCTCGAGCGAAAACAGAAGGACGTCTCATATTTTCGCGCTGCTCCTTGTCATGGAGCCCACAGCGGTTCGTAGGGGAAGGACCGGTTCGAGCAATGGAATCCGAGCCTATCTAAGCCTCCAGATCTAAGAACACTCGAAGAACTTTGTCGCTTTCGAATCGTAGAATGTACTCGAACCCAGGCCCGGATCCTAACACGAGCATTCTCGGAATAGGTTTCTCTGAGAGCTCTTGGTATAGAAGTCCGACGTTTTCTGGTTCTCTCATCCCGACCATTCTCGGAGTTAGTTCTCAGAAAAATGCCCTCCAGATGAAGTTCCGAATCTCCGCAGTTTTGGCAAGCGCGTCCAGCTGGCTATCAGGGCCATTCGTCAATATGGCCACTGCTCTTGCTGGAGCAGTCCGACTTGTCCGAGGAATAGGCAGGCTTCCGACGCCTAAGCTACAGCAACGGTACCGAATCTAGCTTCGCGGTCAAATGATATAGACCAAAGACCCCGCTTAATTGTGTCCCTTCTACCCGCGTTCCTCACCGTTCCCGAGGAACGTATGCTCGAGCTATAGCGTCCGGCTCTACCGAGGAACGGCGTTCTGCCGTTTCGCCGCTCCTGGCCATTCGGATGTCAGTTAGAAATCATCATCCGCGCTGGATAGATTATTTTGTTGACCAGTGTTGAGCGAGGAGTCCTGTGCGTAGGAGAGAGGAAGTGACTCTGATGTGAACACCGCATTCCAGGATGTCCTCAGGGATGCCTGAAGCGTCACCGCGAGAGCCGTCCTCGTCGACGGAACAAGCAACGACGATCGAGGATCGCATAAGCTACGTGGTCCAAGCTGGAGAGACGATGAACGCAATTGCAGCTAAGTTTGATTTGACGCCCTCTGAGCTGGCGCGGCTCAATCGCATACCGACCAACAGCATGCTGTTCCAGGGACGTAAACTGTCCATACCAGTGAAACGACGTAAATCGATAGGACCATCGAACAACGACATCGAAGCAAGTGAGTTCGCTGCTGCCGATGCTGCTGCTACCGATCTCTCTGCGACGACAGCACCAGCAGACAGGAAAGAATCACTGTTCGACAGTGAAGGCGGAGGTGACCAGGAGGCCCGCAGCGTCCTCGACAAATCAGCTTCTTCTCCAAATGATTCGAGACAAGCATCATCCTGTTCGGGTGACGCCCATCGTGCGCAAGTGCCAATCAACGTTAGACAACAACAACAGCAGCAGCAGCAAAACGATATTTTGTTCGGGCTCATGATTCCTCCTCGGGCGGCGATGAGTTCAGCACAAGACAGCGGTTCGGTGATGCCTTCGCGCGCGCGGTTTTCGCACGTTCTGAAAATCAACGCTCGCCACATCACAGACGGACAGGGCGTCGTGACGGGCACTCTACTCATCACGCCGAACAACATCATGTTCAGCCCAAATGTGTCCGATCTCATCGTGATCGAACACGGCACAGAGCATTACGAAGTCACGGCCCCGATCGACATGATCGCCGGAGCTGCCCTCTACACCGACATCGCGATAATGCGAACCAAAATGCACCAAAAACCAATCGTCTGCAACATACCTGTACAGGTTTACTATTCGAACGACGAGGAACGACCGAAAACCCCGCCGTCAACTCCTAATAGACTCGCGGCGACCGCCGCTTGCGAACAAACGAGACCGGAATCAGAGTCCGGCGGCTCGGAACCCGTGTCGCCTCGGCCCACGAAAACCCCGCCGTCCAGTCCTGTGGTCGGAGGTGCCGGCCGTGAAGACCGAGCTGAGGAGAGCGCGACGTCGGCGATCGCGAAGACGGACGCCCGCGGTGAGTCGAAAGACATGGAAGAGCCCGAAGTTTTCGCGGCGCTCGAAAAACTTCTCCCTAAACCCGCGCAGCCGCAGGAGAACTCAATGCTGTATTTATGTCTTCGGATGGGCAATCCCCTAAACAAAAAGGTCAAGGTTCCTGCTGTGTCAATCGGTCGGAGGAAACTCAAGTGCGAATACTGGTTCGGCATCCCGCGGAACCGCGTCGACGAAGTGTACAAATTCTTCCAAAGAAACTATCCCGACAAGTACGGCGACGTGATCGAGCTCAACATGGAGGAGCGGGGCTTCACGGATATCGTATCGGACGATGACGACGACGCCGACAACAACGATAACAAGGATAAAAACGGGGGCTCGTCCGACAGCAATCATCAGCACCGACGAGACGATATGCGGATAAAGTCCCAGGACGGCGGACCATCCGACGACTCCAGACAAGCCCCCGACACACCGAGGAGCGCAACCGATGGAGCTTTCACAGGCGTCTTCAATCGGGTTGGCTCGTTCAAGAATCCTTTCAAACTGCCCCGCTTTTTCGAGGGCCCAAACACTCCGCACCCGTCGTTCTCTTCGTGTGAGTGGGAAGTGATCGCGCTGAAAGACGACTCCAGCGGTCCCGCGGCCTCGACCAATCTGCTCAACCCATTGACGCCCGACGAGATCCTCTTGCCCGAGATGATCGACGACTCTGAGATTCTTGATGAAGAGCACCGAAAAATGTTGTACAAAGTCATTCCGGCTCGCGCCGAAGGTTACGCCTGGCGCTTGGTCTACTCGACGACCAGGAATGGTTTCAGCTTGAAAACTTTCTACCGGGAGATGAGTCGTCACGATGGGCCAGTGCTGTTGGCCATCACCGATACCGAAGGAGCTCTGTTCGGAGCGTTCGCCCCGACCACCATTCATCCAAGCGACCATTTTTACGGCACCGGGGAAATGTTCCTCTGGACATTCCATCCCAGCTTCAACAAATACCCGTGGTCGGGGGAGAATCAGTACTTCATCAAAGGGAACCAGGATTCTCTGGTGTTTGGTTCAGGCGACGGCGAATTCGGTTTGTACCTGGACGGAGACCTGTACCACGGCCGCTCGTCACCCTGCAAGACGTTCAACAACGAAGTCCTCTCGCAGACAAACGACTTCGTCATCAAATCGCTCGAAGCTTGGGGTTTCTTCTGAGCTTGAGCCCTGTTGAGCCTATCCGATACGGAGATGATGATAATCAGATGTGTCCGTTGAATTCCATCTGAAGGTGAGAGCATTAGATGAGGGGGATTACGATGGGCGGAAGATCGAACTGGGAACGAAAACTACCGATTCACTCCATCAGCAAGTCAGCCAGTCAATCGGTCGGTCTCTAGAACTTTCGGGCGAACAGTCACATTTATATCGGGGGAACTGACTGGCTTATGCTGTACGGACACAAAGAGACAGTATTCGACTCAAGGGGCATAAGCACGAGATGATTTGTGGGGAGACGGATACGATTCTATTGTCGAGTGGCGGAAATTCGTCCGACAGGTTGATTGAAAGCTTGGCGTCTGGTTCGTTTGTCCGTTGATAACTCGTCAAATGATGATGATTGAAGCTATCGACAGTATCGGCTCTCAGTCGGTACTATTGCGAATGACGACGACGTTGGCTGTGGCGAATGGATACGCCTTTGGTCAAGAGTTACGGCGTCGTCGACGAGGGCCAATGATCTTCTGCAACGCCCCAATCATACAATACTTCAGCCGTTAATACGATCCAGATCATCGCTACGACGATAATCTATGATGAGACGTAGTAGGACAAAAGTTTATTAGACGGACACTCTCCCAAATTGATAGTGGTCTAAGTGGCAGCGATTCGTAGAGTGGGGAATATCCGTCTTTTTTTAACGATATGAGCGAGAAACGTGAGTTTCTGCTGAATTTCCTCTCGAATGAAGATTTCCCTGCTGGTCAGACCACGATCAATTCAACCCAGCTTACCAACAACCTGAATGTTCCGCCGGTGACCGGCTAGTTTTTTGTTTATCGAATGATGATGATAATATTGATAGCATCAAGAAGAATAAGGACAATAACGCTATGGGGAAGTTGATGACGGTATTAAGATGAGGACTATAGAATATTTGATACCCTCCCCTCTAAAGGGATACCACTGGCCGTGAGAGGAAAGTGGAAGAGCTTCGATCCGGTCTCTCTGCCTCCTCCTTCACCCGAATGAAAGTCGCTTTGGATGTAATCGTTGTGATAGAAATATATAGACTCTACATATACTTTATTATATACATACATACAATATATAAATATATACATACCTACATACATACATGAATGAGTATATACATACATCATCATCACAAGGGCAGATACAGACCTCTCCGAGAAGCGTTGTCGTTACAACGACGATGATGATGATGATGGCTGTTACCATTGTTTTTGATCGGTGATGACGACAGTAGTCGCACTTCATCTGGATTGATCATCAATATTTCTTTCTGCCACACGAGAGTATCCACCTCGGCCGAAGTGTGGATCGATGTGGATCGATAGTACAACAGATGTGGATCGAAAGTTGCGATCTTTGATGTTCCCGTCTTTCTGGATTTGGGCTATTCGCCACGACCGCCATCCGACGTGTTGATCAGTTCATCGTCCAGTCATTAGTTCATCGTCCGGCAATGTCATGATCCCCCTTCGGTGCTCATCCGAGAGCGACCATGTTTTATTTATTCAAAGGCAGATCGATTTTGGGCATTTTGTTGCTAGCTAATTGTCAGTTGAGTATGAATACAGATGCGTTACCTATTTATTGTTACGTTTCATTTCATCGAGCATTCCTTGGAGAATCCTTCTTTGTCCGGCATCATCATCCTCCTATTCACGGTCGATTCGAGTCTGGAGCAAAAAGCGAATTAACGTTTCAATTATTTCTCCCTCCGATTCCGGTGGTTCTGCCTCAATCCGAGCTCGGAAGCCCGGATAAATTCCATCATATCGGGGCGCGAGTCCGGGCGAGAGCCACGATCTAGGACAGCTCCGACCTGCGAATCGCCAATCACCTGAAGCCGTTGTCGAAAGGAGTATATTTTCCTGTTTGAGTTGTGACTTCTAGAGAGCTTATTTTGAAAAGTCTCTTCTCCTCCTCGGGGACGAGAGTTTAGCGGGCGAACTGAGAACGAGATGGACGAATCGTAACCAGTTCCCTGAGGGCAGGAAGATCACTGGACATTCCTAAAATCTGACGTGACGTCGTACCGAAACGTCTTCACCCCCATGAAGACGTTCACCCCTGCCTGACGCGAGGTCCCTCGTGCGAGTCTCTGAGCAAGCCATTCATGAGATTGATGATCGATTCGAGAGATGCGATAGATTCGACTCGAAGATTAAATACATTCTTCTTCATGGCCGACGATAATACTTGAGATCATGTCAATTTCGCTCGTAAGTGTCCTCGTCTGTGACAAAATGCGGCAACCTCCAACCGTTGTCCTCAATCCCCCATTAGTCAAGGCCTCTCAGTTCCCTGCCCGTGAAATGCGGCAGTCAACGAGGTATCCGATCCCGATGCGCATTTGAATCTGCGGAGGTGGCCCTCTTCGATCTCCAATCGCTTTCTCATCGGTAAAAGTTCCACAGCCCACCCGGCTCAACCTTCGGATGCTCTTTTTTGAGCTGAGTTGCAAAGATGAGTCTTGAAGTTTCCGGGTTTGGACTGTACTTATTCTTCTTTCTCTCCCTCCGAGTCTCCCCCCCACGGAAAGTCTTGTCCCTCACAAGCATCCGACCATCATCATCAGCAGCCCTTGCAGCCCCCCTAGACCAGAAGAATCGATGATGACTTACATGCAGTATTGGGCTTGAGAGTCAGCTGGGATGCTCAGCTGAGATCACAAGAGCGAAATGACACGAATGATAATAAGGGCACCGACAAAGACGATGCATGACCGAGGGCACGACGATACGAGGCGAGTCGAACTCGACCACGGAGGGGAGAGGATCACAGAACTGAGGAATTGGCTTCGTCGAGTTGCAAGTGGGTGGCCACGCAGACCGAGAAGCTGACCGGCTGCCTTAAACACAGCTTGTTTTGCTGACCACTGCTCGTTGATCATCCTCGGATGGGACTCCCATTCCAGAGACTCGACAATCGATCGATCCTAGCTCACGGCCGGCGTGTCCACAACAAGACAAACTGTTGTTACCCAGCAATGGAGGAGAGCCTCGAAGAACATCTCCCGGAATCAGGGTGAGACATACTAAATATGAGGAGGACTAATTTCATCTCAGTCAGCGATGCGTACGCTGATCATAATCTCGCGCCGAGAGGCGAAGAGTCCCCGAACCGGGATCAGTCATTCAGAGAGCGACCTCGGTGGAAGTCACGCCGGAGGCGCGAGTTCCACTCCAACCATCCCGATCGTAGGATCCAAAGCAGACGAGACGTGGAGGAAAGAACAATCATCAACATAACTGGTTAAATATTCGATCTAAGGATTGTACATTGGGAAATTCACAACACTCGGCAGAACAATTGATACCATTGAGAGTTGAGACAATGATAGGGAAGCAGAAGAGACAAGGGGAAATGCTTTCGATGAGAATTGACGAAAATGTAGTGATATCGAAAGAGAAGAGATACCCAATGAGAGTGTCGTGATAGCTTAGTTTCACAAAACAAACAAGCATGAAATATTTTGTATCTGAGCTACCAATGAAGGAGAGCATCGACAGAGAAGGCGGAGAGAGAGAGACTGGAATCGGACCGTGGGATGGAAACAGAGAGACGGACGCTCACCAAGCTACGAGTAACTCCCAGAGGGGAAGTAGAAACTTGGAATATTACCCGAGAGAGACGAGCTGTTAGACAAATATGGGGAGAGGCAGAGGAAGGGGAACGCGAGCACTATCAAGTGTTAATTAGCTTTAGAAACCAACGGCGACAAGCGAAGGACGAGAGGAGAGTTGAGTTTATGGAATCTATCTATGTAGAAGCGGTAATCTGTTGAATAGGAATTGGATCGCATACAGCGACCAAGGTCGATGTACACATCCAGAGAAACATGCAGAGAGTGACAGAGAAGCGATCGTTTAGGATCTACAGCAATGAAACCAACACAATATAGAGAGTATAGTTTTAGACAATATACAGATGAAGATGAAGCGTAGCACATAGGAGGCGGCTAGCCACACGACGGGCATGAATTCCCCACCTGCAGCAAAAGCGGCAACAACAAAACACAAGCATTCTTTTACACGGGCCAAGCCCAACCGTCACACACTTTAGTTACAAGCATCCCGAGACCGACAGACTGAACACACAGACAGAGTGCTACACCTGCTGACGTCGGGTGAAAGTCCCAGAAGCAACGCGCAAGAGTCTAATTCGGGTTTCGTCTCCGGGAACGAAGACTGAATAATGCGGTCGAATCCTGGGCATAATGATTCGGTTCCAAGGGCGGAGGAGCTGCCGAAGGCGCCAATGAATTAGCTGCGGTGGAAAGCATCGGGTGTCTTACTGAGCGAATTCGGCCCGGGTCCGGGGCATATTGGGATCCAATCGGCAATCGATAGAGCATATCATGCAATTGATCGATTGAATCAGCACCGATATTTCATTTCAAGACTTTGTCGAAGCCAGGCAACATGCAAACCAGCTGGGCACGGGAAAATACGGGACGTGTCGCTGGAGGAGCACAGCCGACGTTCTGGCAGACGCAAAATCGCGTCATCGGCCTTGAATCGGGACGAGTCTTGCGGGGTTGTTTCACCATCGCGGCAGAGATTTTTTGCCGAGGATGCTCCTGGTATCTCAGATTACCTCTGCTGCTGCTGCTGCTTGACTGACAGTGGCAGGGCGAGCGAAGCCTTTCCTCCGGAGGTTTGGGAGATATTGTATCAAGTACAAAAAACTTTTGCGAGCTGAATCCGCATTGCTCGTTACGCTCCGCCGAAACGCTCTCGGGCTCTCAAGAGCTCCGACTCGAATCAAAGTTCCACGACGAAACGTCAATCTGGGGTATGGACGATCGGTCGGCCGGTCGGTCAGAACGAATGCGTGGATAGGTGCGCGAAAAACCCTCGGCGAGCAAGCTGTTCGTTTGTGAGCGAAGGCGGATTCACACTGCTTGGACCGGAGAGACGAGCGGTGCTTGAATTCATTCTGTCTGGTCGACCACTGTGACGAGC